GAAAATCAGCTCCGAGAATGGGTTGCTTAATATCCGCTACAATAAAATTCCATTTGTACGGCCGTCTCAAGTTAAGGTTTAGCGTCAGCGTTTTTTCGCCGTATGTTTTAATTTCTGTCCCGTTCGCAGCGAATAATTTGTATTTGTTGTTTGATGATAATCTTGACCCTTGTTTTGGTAATGCGGAGATGTTGGCGCCGGTGTCAACCAAAAAACGATACCCACTTTTGCGGTCGGTAACGCATAGACGGCTTGACGGTAAGATAGCGCTGACATCCGCCTCGGTCAGCGCTGTTTCTAGTTTTCCGACGGTTTAGGTTTGATCCAATTGCAGGGCAGTTCGCAATTCCTTGCTCTCCCTCTGAAACGTAGATGATACTTGCAGAGCCAATTCGGACTGTCCGGTGTTATAGGAGCCTTTCGTGGCATAGACTGGGATCTCGACCTGCTGCGAAATTGGTTGCGACGACCTTCAAATCGGTTTCTTCTATTATTGATTTGGCCTCGTAACGAAGCTACTTCTAATGATAACTTGTTAATGTGGGCTAACAACTCCGTCATAACTGGAGACTGGGAAAGTTGGGACACTTCAGCTATTTCGCCTGGACGGTTATTCTCCATAATCTTATCAGCTATGGCGGCTAAGTTATCTAGGTTTTGGTCCTGACTCACAGTCAGCACGGCGCGTACGTGAGCTGGTAACCGAGATGTCCATAAATTGTGTAAAGTTGAATCCGTTACTTGTGTTTTCTGAGCCAACTGTCTCATGCGTCGCAGTAGATGTGACGGTCTCTGGTCGCCGAGCTCCATCTCGCTGACGAGCTTCTGGAATTGACGTTCTTCGGATTCTTCATATACAGCAAGTAATCTGTCTTTGAGAATTTTATATCTGTTTTCAGCTGGAGGCGCGAGTAAAATATCGCTGACCTGTTGGATGGAGTCGCGTCCCAGTTTGGATATGACAATGTTGAATTTCGACTCATCTCCCTGTTTTTGTGGTGCCATGATGGTCTCAAATTGTGCGAACCACAGTCTTGGCATTTCTGTCCAAAAGTCCGCGATTTTGCTTGATATTGTAATTGCAGCTAGCTCCTTGTCAACTGAAGTCGAACTTGATGCAGGGGTTGTATTGGTTTTGGGCGCGTGGCTGCTGGGCACTCCTAAGCACTGATAAGGCTGCTCTCCAATGGGATTCATCTTGACTTTTGAATGTAATTACGTACGAATTTTACGCGGGGTCACCAATGTGGTGATTACCAGGTGACGAAGTTAAGATCGGAGATGGTAATTTAAACAAGGTTGAACAGAGAGTGTTTTTATTAGCATAATGTAAATTAAAAGTAAACTATAATTGCGTAATATAACATGCCAACTTAATATATCGTGACCTCTATAATTTGTCAGTTTGCGGAATTTTATTATTAATATTATTATTGCATCATTGCATATTATACACCTACAAAAAAAATCTGATATACGAGAAAGGATCAGAGGAAATGAAACGGCCGCGGGCGGACCGCTCATGATAACGAACGTCAACCATTGATTGCCTTTGAGACAATTATTCTTGCGTGTGTTGTTCCTGGGTAGGGCTGCCATCCGTCCGGGTTTCCCCGGATTTGTCCTAGTTTACGGGGCGTCCGGGGAGCGTCCGGGCGGGGTTTTATTTGTAGTCGGGTTTAAAAATTTACGGCAACGCATGAGTGGCCCTTGGTGCTGCAAGTGTCCATGGGCAGCAGTGACCACTTATTATGAGGTAGACCGCTAGCTCTTTTGCCTAGATCAACATAAAAAAGTTGAATTGTGAAATTTTTAACTGTTTTTTTATTGGTCTGTCCAGGTTCCGGGCTTCAAAATCCGGGGTTATCACGCTTCTTATCCTGGTTGCCACATTTTAGAGATGGCAGCCCTATTCCTGGGTACCATATGAGGAGTGAACAAGTCTCTACGGTGACTGTTAGAGTGGGACGAAGTTATGAGCAATGTAGAGCTGTATCCTTGTATCCTGCTTCAACAACAGCTTTTGGATGAGAGTTCATAATAAGATCTTCATAATATGTGATATACCGATGATAAGTCCAAGGAGTAGGTAAACAATATTTCTGCGATATTGCGTTTTGTTAAGACGAAGATTATTTTCAATGGTAAAATATGAGCTCATAATAGAATATAGATCAAGCAAACAATCTACATGCAATAATAAGAATAATAGTTTGTGTGATGAATACGAGCATTTGTACTCCAGTCATGGATGTTTAATATGTATTTCTATATATATATATAGGTATTTTTTTTGAATGTTATACTGATATATGTATTAGTATAAAATTACCTTCAGAGCCGAATAATATAAGAAGAATCAGAGAAGAAAAAAAAAGAAAGCAGAGCACTTCTTCTTGGCTAAGGGAGTCCAACTTTGACTCCTTTAAGATTATACATATATATACTCAAATAATGTAACGAAATTGAAAAAATACATTTATTCATTTATTGAGAAGTTAGCTTTATTTCCTCAACAAAATACATGATACTGATATATGTATTAGTATAAAAATCCAAAAAAAAAATTGACACAAATATTTATTGTGTTTAAAATTTGTTTAGATTTTATATACATACATAGGGTCTTAATATATCAAAACACGCTATCGTTATTTTTGTATAGAATATAATTATTTTTAACTTTCTTCTTGAATTTGTTATAAACTTATTCATTTCAACATTGCCACTTCCTATTGAGGAACCGGCCGTCGCGTCGGCACAAAATTCAATGTCCTACCTACATCAATGCAAGTTACCCAACCAGCTAAAAAAAATGTATGTAAGTTATCATTTTTTTAACCATTCAACGATAAAACTGTGTATGAGTTAATTTGGCAACCTCCGTGGCCGAGTGATTTGTACGCCGGGTTTCATGGCATCGCCGACTCGAGAGGTCCCGGGTTCGAATGCCGGTGAGGGCAGATGTTTGTGTGATGAATACGAGCATTTGTACTCCAGTCATGGATGTTTAATATATATTTCTGTATAAATATACTTATATATGTATTCTATCCGTTACCCTAGTATCCCATCACACAAGCCTTACAGTGCTTACTTTGGGGCTAGGCTAATTGATGTGAGTGTTGGAAATATTTATTTACTTATCTCCATTGATTCACAATCGTTTTATAAACTCTTCTAGAACAAGAATAGAAACGAATTTAGATATAAAAAGATCTGCACAACCCTCCGGCACGCGGAACAAAAGGTCTCGGAATGGTATGGCATGGGTTTATTTATACAGCGAGTAGCCACCGCCTCTCGTCGCTCGGACAAATAGTGGCCGGCTTAAAATTCAACAAGTGGAGTCTCGTTCTGAACTTTTCATCGGAGAAATAAAGTATTTTACGCCTCTTTTTACGGCTATTTCGCGGCTCAGTTCAGTAGGAATGAGGTCGACATTAAATTAATGGTCTTTTATTTTTTATAGATTATGATATTAAATATGGAAGCTTCACAGCTTTGCATAGGTAATTCCGTTCACTGTAATGTGTTATTCCGACAATATTCCCAGTTTATAATTTTGAAAAGTTTGTTTGTTTGTTTTTATGTTTATGTAAAAGTACCATAACAATTATATGTCCAATGAATGATTTATTAATTTTTGTATTTAATTTAATTTTAATTTTGTTTATTGTAATGTGAATTTTAATCTGACATTTAATTGCGTGACCTCATCTATATGGGTTAGAACTGAAAATCAGCGATTTACTCTCGGAGTAAATGTTACGCTGAGTTTTCGCCCATTCGCATCGCTGCTGCACACGAAAATATCAGTATAGTTATATAAATATAATTTGTTGTATGTTTTAAAGGATTTATTTAATTGTAAAATATGTCTTCAATTTTGTATGTGTGCATGTTGGTGTGAATAAAGTTTTATCTATCTAAAAGTGAGTAAATTAATAGAAATTACGACCCTCAGCAGCACCTAACACTATTAAAGAAATGCCTTAGAATCGGGCGAAAAACTAAAAAAAAATACAATTGAATTTCGAACTTAACTAATATTTAAAACGAGCCTTACAATAGTCGCGTATGATGTGTAACGTTTGAAACCTCACCTTATATTAGTAAAAAAAGAAATAAAACCTACTACAAAAGGAATAAGCCATTTTAACATTATGTTCTAAAATCAAATCAAATAGCGCGCGCTTTCGCGACTTCACTCCCACAAATTGCAGGAAAGCGAGAGGAAAGATGTTACACATTAATAAAAAAGGTAAATTTAAAAAATCAAAAAACCCGACTGCTTAAATATTACTTCAAATAAAAACTGAAAAGAAAAAAAAACAAGTCCAGTAGTCTATAATTCTGTTACTAAGGAACAAAGCTACTTTAAGAGTCGGGACCCATTAGATATTCAAAGATCAATTTTGTGGTCTTCGACAGTTGTACGTCGTCGTAGGTAGGACTCTATTATCCAACAAATTCAATAATCCGACATCGCCCTGCAAAATGTTTGTCGAATTACCGCGGGTTTACTGTATACGGATCAAATTAAAGACCACTTAAATTTTGAATTAGTTAAATAAAAAATACGTCTCGTCGTATCTCGTTCTTATAATGTCAACTGATTGTAGTACAGTCTTTATCGAAAGTAAAAATTGTTGCATTGCCAGCTAGGTACATCATGAAACTTTACATCCTATCTCGTAATTCTAAAAATAAGTGAATTATGCTTAATAGTGCCATCTGTGACTTGAGTTACACAGTTCAACAAACGTTGTTTTGCTTTCAAAACAGACGGGACTGCGTTGCCTGTGGCTGTTTCTGATGTAGTGTCTTGGTTTTTGTATAGATGGCGCTGTTACATAATTGTAAAGTAGACTACAAAATTATTTTCGATGGAAATTATACTATGGTGATTTACTTTAGCCTTTATACAATGAAAGGAATATAAATGTCCTTAAAAATATTTTTTTATGATTAATTTATCGTCGTTTCTATTGTTGCAGAAATCGCGCGACTCAACAGGCACTCCGGCCAACGAGTAATTCCAAAACAAATTAGTCAAATGAGAGTTCCTAAAACTTAGGATTAATAATTTAGGAAAATTTACGAAAGAAAAAAAAAACAAAATGTATAATTCGAACGAGTTCTTGCACAGCGCTGGTGTGAGCCGTCAAATGCAAGCGACGGGAGAGGCGCCCTCACAAAAGACCAGCATGAAGAGGCGATCCTGCGAAGTGCCTCTAGGTGACATATCTTCAAACAACTTCAAAGTGTCCTTGAACGACATATCGACAATCAGCGACGTCAACTACGACTGTAGATCTCTACGCTCTGTCAAATCCGAGGATACCAGACTGAGATACTACAGACCCATAGATAGTAGAAGCGTGAAGAACTTCCGATCTTCTCTTGCTGATATATCTACGTGCTCGTTGTCTCGGCCGCCGAGTTATGATCAACTGTCGAGGCGGTCGATGATCGAAGGTGCTGAAGCTCAAGCTATGACGTCATCGAGCATCGAAGGCGTCCTGTGGTCTGATGAGGAGGAGAACGAGTATTTCTACCACGAGAACATCACGTCTGCTTGGAATGAAGGTAAGTTTGTTTACTTTGGTATATGGAACTTCGTTTTTGTTAAAGTAACCTAATATTCACAATCAGTGAAAAGAGCTCTTTATACCATTTCAGAATAAATTTCAGTATAAAACCTTAGATTTAGCATTACTTATATTTACAGTTACAATTTTGAATTAGATATTATGAAGTTATACGACGACAACAACGTCATAGCATGTGAGTTCCTATTATAGTTATTAGCAATCAGTAATATATTTTTAAGCATGTAACTGCTAGATGTTTAAGAAGAAAATTTTACGACAGAAAAAATCCACGCGTACCAGGCATCAGACGGGAATCGCACCCGTACCCTTCGCCATCCGAATGCACTGACCATTATGCTACCGCGGCCCTGATGGCCGTGTTGAAATTTTCTAAGCCTTACCTAAGCTGCAAGGCAGCGACATCTCTTCCCATTGTAGGTAACTTACAATATCAAATTAATACCTTTACAAGTATTAAACATTTGAAAGAAAAAATAGCAATTATAGTTATATTTCTTTTATTTTTCAGCATGTAACTGCTTGTTTGATGATGATATATATGCTAAAGAATATTCAACTCTATGCTACCTCAGCCCTGATGGCCGTGTTGAATTTTCTCTAGCATAAACATTTAGCAGTTACATGCTGAAAAAATAAAAGAAATATAACTATAATTCCTATTTCTTCTTTCAAATGTTTAATACTTGCAAAGGTATTCATTTGACATTGTAGATTACCTACAATGCGAAGAGATGGCGCTGCCTTGCAGCTTAGGAAAGGCTGAGAAAGTTTCAACACGGCCATAAGAGGTGCATAGTGGTGGTCGTGGTGGTAGCGTGCTGGTCAGTGCATTCACCCGGATAGCGAAGGGTGGGGGTTCGAGTCCAGTCTGCTGCCTGGTCCGCGTGGATTTTTTCTAGTAAAATTTTCTTCACATTGATTTAATTATCAGAGTTTCTTGCAACAAAACAATAAATATTAATAATTCCACCAGCACCGGAAATAATGAAAAACTATAGTGGAATATCTACATTTATGTTACATAAACTTTAATATTTTCATTTGCATGCAAATGAAAACGTGAGCAAGTGTTGCACTCCACGATCGACGCAAGCGCAGCCCAATGACCCCGTCATAGATCATCAGTGATCTATGATCATCGGTGACAAAGATTACATAAGACGCAGATACGAAACTTGGTTATTGGGTATTTATTATGATAATGATATTTATTATGATCGGTACTCCCTAGATTATTCGTATTTGCTACATACAGTCGATTTCAGTTATTACGACCTTGGTTGAATTAAGTTGGAGTACCGGCATGAGAGTACTAAAGGCAGAATGTAACAATGATATTTGCATTATCATAACAAATACCCAATATCCAAGTTTCGTATCTGTGTCTTATGTATCTAATCTTTGTCACCGATGTGATGATGTATGACGGGGTCATATGTATTTGTAAACTTGACAACAGTCTATCCTCATCATGCTTTATAAGCAAGCAAACACGAATAGAAAGAAATAAAATGTTTTATTCAGTGACACAAATTATATATGAAACAATATACCTTATACATAAATACAATAATTTAGGTCTAAACATTTGCGTCACTATAAAAGCAGTCCACTCAGCATATGTCGGATGTCGTAGACCAGTGATTCCCAAAGTGGTTTATATCGACCCCTAGGGGTCTATGACAACCTGCAAGGGGTCTACGTCAGCGAAAAAAAATCAATATCAGGTAAATAGGGGGTCTACCCAACACGGAAAAACATGGCAAGGGGTCTACGACACAAAAAAGTTTGGGGAACTCTATCGTAGACGGTCTTCCGTGGTTACCTTTAAAAGTTGGGATAAGAGTACGAATAGCCCCGCCACTTAGGAAGAAAACTTAATAAAATTACACAGATATTAGGGAAAAAGTGTATTGTGTTACTTCTCCGTCTTAAATCAACCAAGTAATAGTGAAGTGCCGGCATGAAACTATTGCGTTCGGTGAGGTTTATTCAATTGATACTTTAATTAGCCTTTCGATTTATGTAAATGTTGCTATTTCTGTTAATAGGGGTGATGACGGGGTACAGTAAACGAAATTCTATTTAGTCCGTCAGTTATATGATCAAAAAATAATGGACACGTATTTTTTCTTTGGGCAATCTATCTATATATATATAAAACTCAAAGGTGACTGACTTAGTGATCTATCAACGCACAGCCCAAACCACTGGACGGATCGGACTGAAATTTGGCATGCAGGTAGATATTATGACGTAGGCATCCGCTAAGAAAGGATTTTGATCAATTCTACCCCCAAGGGGATTAAATAGGGAATGAAAGTTTGTATGAAACCTTGTCAATTTTAAACCGATCGGGCTGAGACTTTGCATGCAGGTATAAGAAGAAGCATAGATGAATGTCATTGTATATAATACAAGTCTGAGAACAAAAACTGTAGTCTACACTTCAGCTCTAAACCGAAGCGAAGCGAGGGCGGACCGCTAGTCAACCATAAAATGACAATGTTATAGCGCGTCAAAGTTTGGGAGTAGGGGCTCGTGACGCCACTTTTAAGTGAAAATTGTACCAAAACGTGACGTCATGCGACTTTTCAAATCAATATATCTCTGCAATGTTTATATTATGTGAAAAAAGAAAAAATACGTGTCCAATACTTTTTGATAATCTACCTGACAAACGAAGAAAAAAAATTAGTCATCATCCCCATTGTGATGGGTTTCTTACGCCCATTCTTCTCATCAGCTAAAAATATTGTACGATTCAAAAGAGCTTATTTTTCCTTTGTGAGGCGTATCTCCTGAACCAATATGTCAGTATATCGTGATGACTGAATTCAGCCACCTCACAAACAAAAAAATAAATCAAACTAATATTGTAAAGGCGAAAGTTTGTGAGTGTGTATGTTTGTTACTTCTTCACGTCTAAACGGCTGGAGCGATTTTAATAAAATTTGGTATGGAGTTAGCTTACACTCTGGATTATATGCCTAAAAAAATACATAACCGACTTAATCGTCTTCTGTCAAATAGAAAATTTCGACTTTCTATTGACTTACGCTAAATTAAAAAATGCTATCGCCAGTAGTAAAAAACTTTATAGCGATTATCACACTAATGTTGTAAAGGCGATAGTAAAATTTGGTATGGAGTTAGCTAACACCCTGGATTAACACAAAGGCTACGTTTTACTGCGGGAAAATATCCGTAATAAACCGCAGGTAACACCGCGGGGCACAGCTAGTATTTAATATATTTCAAAAAAGATCCATACCTACTGTTCAAGCAAGGGCGGATCCAGGGGGGGGGGGGTCTTGGAGGTCATGACCCCTCTGGGCTGGGTACAGATGGACCAAACCCAGGGGGATTTTATTTGAGTACTTTCAATATTTAATATACCACGACTATATGACCCCCCCCCCTGGCGCCAAAGCTGGCTATATGACCCCCCCCTGGCGCCAAAGCTGGCTATATGACCCCCCCTGGCGCCAAAGCTGGCTATATGACCCCCCCCTGGCGCCAAAGCTGGATCCGCCCTTGTACTGTGGATTTACAGTAGAAGACCTCTTGATCTTTTCTCCCTCTTTTTAGGGTTTATACTACATGTAAAGTCGTTACCTACTTGAATAATTAAACGACCCATTTCGAAAATGAAATATAAACAAATTAACTCAACGTCCATTAAAATGCGCCATTAACATATAACACCGATGGAAATTATAACAAGAAAGTCATATAAATTACAAGTTTACTGGCATTAACCATTAAAAAAGGGAAATGTTTCTGCTAAGTAGTGATCTTGTTACCTTAAATCGTACTCGCAATATTTTGAAAGTGACTGGTAGATTTGAAATATAAAAACTATATTTTTTTTAAGAAAAAATCAAAGAAAATTTTATTCTAAAATCGTTACTTACAGCTCTCTCTGTGAGTGACCATTGAAACCAATAGATATCTCGTACGTGTTAAACAAATTGCGGTGCATTCATACATATATTATAAATGCGAAAGTGTATCTGTCTGTTTGTAACATCTTCATTTGATTTCGTTGAAATTTAAATAAATAAAATTAATAAATATTTCCAACACTCCCACCAATGACCCTAGCCCCAAAGTAAGCACTGTAAGTAAGACATGTGTTATGGGATTCCATGGTAACGGATAGAATACATATACTGTACATTACATGTATAAGTATATTTATATAGAAATACATATTAAACATCCATGACTGGAGTACAAATGCTCGTATTCATCACACAAACATCTGCCACCACCGGGATTCGAACCCGGGACCTCTAGAGTCGGCGACACCATGAAACCCGGCGTACCTACATACCACTCGGCCACGGAGGTCGTCAATATAATTCTAATATTAATTTGGTATATATATGTGGTTTGAGATCCGGGGAAGGACATAGGATAGTTTACGATAGTTCATCCTTTAGGGAGGTGAAAATGGGGGTTCAGGTTTTACCTCATCATCATCTCAGCCGTACGACACCCACTGCTGTCCATAGGCCTCCGCCTATGCTCAGCAGCGTGGTAAGCTCCCCCAAGGATCTCCACATCGATCGGTCCTGCGCCACTCGCCTCCATCGGATGACCTTTTTTTATACGCAGGCAAAAAATACTATTTACAGACGACGGCGCCTTTAAGAGGCACACCGCCGAACGGACTTCACACCTGGCTTCCGCAAGCCTTACGAGCCCCAGCAGTGGCTGCCCACTGAGGACCCCGTAACTCTTACGGGCGCTTTACGGCATAATATCCGCTAAAAAACTCTGCGAAGACCCTCTAAGCTGCTTAGCGCGAAGCCGCGGGATCCCCGTTTAGGGATTCTTCCGCGTCTCCGCACCTAGCAGCCTCCCAGCCTAGCCGGGGCTCCGCGGCAGGGGTCTCCCGGGGTATCGCGGGGACCCTGCAGATGTGCGCAGGATGGCCCGCGCATGGGGGCTGAGTACACGGCCTAG